TTGCTAAACTTCTATATCAAATGTGTCTCTGCTTAGGAATTGCTCTGTCACTAATTTGTGAGGATTTTCCATTTCTAACAAATCTGGTTGAACCTAAGAGTGATACGATTACCTATATAAAAAATAAATCACACACATAAAAATATAGCTGGGCATATCTTCTAAGATATTGGACAGTGTGGATGGTATTATTTTAAAATACAGGCTCCATGTCCCATAAAGAGGCTCACTGTGGGAGACTGCTAAAGTGTCTGAAAGAGATAGGTATCTCCAGAGGAACATAAAGCAGGGTTCAGCAAGAGGTCTAAGAAAACAAAAATGCCTTGTTTCCATATACAAGAAAATAGTGGTTCCAGATTTGAAGCTCAAATTAAAAGTTCCAAGAACAGACCCTCCAATTGCAGGCCTTGGTTTGCAATTCAACTGTTTCTCAAATGGGAAGCTCTGCAATGGACATCAGGATGAATAACCAGGAGCATTTTTAAAGTAACAATGTTTAATAATTCTCCCCAGAAATTACAGGAAGCCTTGCAAGTAATAAGTAAATGTTTGAGAACGCAACCGGCTGGGAAGCCAGGGTCTAAATGTGCTTCTTAGGGGAAACTTTCCTGAATGACTCAGAAGTTGAGTCAGAGACTGTTAAGCTGTTACCAGGAGCTGCTGTGTACCACCTGAAGCCAGCATGCAAGAAGCACAAGACTACACATTTTGAATGGAGTGGAGTGTTTCTGAATACAAAAATGAATCAACTATTTTGAGCAGCTGTTAATTCAGATACAAGAAAATAAAACAAAAAAGCACAATAGGGGAAATGAAAAAACAATTAGGTATCAAGAGAAATAAAAGTAAAGCCAATAGTGAAGAGAGAACTTAAACTTCTCTTCAGAGAGTATTGATTTGCCTTGGCACTACACTTGTACTTGTGATCTACATCTACAAGAGGTGGGATGCAGACTAGATTCTTTTTACTTGCTCAAATCCACAAATTTCTGTATACTTGTAGCATACAAATAAATTTACTCCATTTGTGACACAATCTTTACTTAGTAAGAATCATAGGAAACTTCTTGATAAAAATGCCAAGGAAATGTGCAATTGAAGATCCATACACCTCTCGTCTCCCTTTCCTGAAGTTCATGGTACTTGAGGATATGGCCATTTAACACATCCAATTAGTGTTGTTATTTCAATGAATCTGGGAATAAAGTTGCAAATATGCACTGATGCACAATTCTAATGTCTGCAGTAAGGTGCAGACAAAGCAGATTCAATCGCCTCTGTGCTGGAATCTGCTTCCTTTTCTTTATTGACTTTCATTTTGCTCCATCTCCCCATTTATTGGGGTGTGCATGTCTGGTTTCCCGAAAACTGCTATCACCAAGAACCTTCCACTCACCTCCATTCTTGAAATGCTCTTCCTTTAACTTCCTTGACAACACTCCCCTAATTTTCCCACTACTTCCTTGGCTAATCTTCGTCAGTTTTCTTCCCAGAGATCTAGCCACGCCTTAAATGCCAGTGATCATTACAATTCTGCTCTCAGTCCTATTTTCCCCTCTATAATCTATTCTGAGAGGCAGTATAGCATAATGGTGAAAAGCACAGACACTAGAGCCACACTGCCTTGGTCTTGTCATTTTCTGGCTGAGTGTGGCTGTGTGACCTTATGCAGGTCACCCAACATCGTCTTAGAAAACGGGACTATTAACTCTCAAAATACAACTCTATTATACAAACCTTTATTTCAAAATAGTTGATCATTTGCAAATGTTTTCTGGGGTGTGCTGTAAGAGATAAGTACACAAGACGCAAAAGAAATCAAAGGTTTATGTTCAGAAACAGTGAAGAAATTGACATTCTAAGTTCAAAGTGTTTAGCAAAGAAAGTTAAGGACTCTTGGCATAGTGAGCTAAGAGGTGTGACTCGTGATTAGGAAAGACCATGGAATGACTAAGAAATAATGAGGATATGGCCATTTAACACATCCAATTAGTGTTGTTATTTCAATGAACCTGAATAAAGTTGAATATGAATAAAGTTGCAAATATGCAGTGATGCACAATTCTCTCTAATTTTGAGCAAATTATTTTTCTAACTATTTTATATCATAGTGCACAAAATAATAAAGTGCTATTTTAATCCTAAAAAAAGTTATTTAGAAGCTTTAATCATGTCAGAATTCCAAATTGCATCTTTTGGGGAAGAATACAGTAACTTCAGTTCTGGAAAAAGGGAACTTAGCATCAGATCTAAGGTTGAAAAAAGCCTCAAAGATCTACACATCTCTGGCCGGCACCGCGGCTCACTAGGCTAATCCTCCGCCTTGCCGCGGCAGCACACAGGGTTCTAGTCCCGGTTGGGGCGCTGGATTCTGTCCCGGTTGCCCCTCTTCCAGGCCAGCTCTCTGCTGTGGCCAGGGAGTGCAGTGGAGGATGGCCCAAGAGCTTGGGTCCTGCACCCCATGGGAGACCAGGATAAGTACCTGGCTCCTGCCATCGGATCAGCACAGCGCGCCGACCGCGGCGGCCATTGGAGGGTGAACCAACGGCAAAGGAAGACCTTTCTCTCTGTCTCTCTGTCTCACTGTCCACTCTGCCTGTCAAAAAAAAAAAAAAATCTACACAGCTCTTTCCCCTATTTCTGGGGACTCCTATTTTTAAACTATTCCAGACACATGAGATTCTAACATGCTTTAAAAAGCTTCTCCAGGGGCCCACGCTGTGGCATACAGGGTTGAGCCTCCACCTGCCATGCCGGCACCCCACGTGGGTGTGGGTTCATGTCCCTGCTGCTCCACTTTTGATCCAGTTCTATAATGATGCACCTGGGGAAGTATCAGAAGATGGCCTAAGTACTTGGTCCCCTGCGCTCATGTGGGAGATCTAAAAGAAGCTCCTGGTTCCTGGCTTTGGTCTGGCCCAGCCTTGGCCATTGTGGTCATTTGGGGAGTGAACCAGCAGATGGGGGAATCTCTCTTTCTCTCTCTCTCTCTCTCTCCTTCTCTCTCAGTGTCTCTGCCTTTCAAATAAATAAATAAATATTTAACAAAAGAAAAAATGAGACTAAGAAAAGTGCCTACTTCTTAGGGTTGTAAGGAAGAATAAATGTGTTCACATGCATGAAGTACCTACTGCCATGGCTACAACTATCATTCACTGAAGCTGAGTAACTCTGTGTCATTTAGCTGATATTATTTGATATTTGATTAGCTGATAAACTCTCTAGACCAGACTTTCCTGCATTCCAGGTCCATTTAACCAACTGTCTACTAAATATTCCCAACCGGATCTAGAGTGCCTTAAACAACATTCACCAACTAACTAATTTCTATCTTCCCAGCACTGTTCTACTCAAAACCTTTTTTTTTTTTTTTTTTTTTTGCTTCTAATTTTTATTTATTTAAGAGACAGTGATACATAGGGAGATACAAATACAGTAACAGACTGAAAGAGCTCCCATTCACCAATTCACCCCACCCCCTACAAATGCCCTCAACAATTGAGGGTGAGCCAAGTTGAAGCTGGCAGGCAAGAACTCAGTCCAGGTCTCCTATATGAGCCACCACTGCTACCCCCCAGGGTACACATTAGCAGGAAGCTGAAGTCAAGAGATGAGCTGTGACTCAAACCTAGGCACTCTGATATGGGATGTAGGCATCCTAAGAGGCATCTTAACTGTTGAGCCAAACGCTCACTTGCAGTGAACTTTCGTATCCTTCCTATATGAATAGGAAACTTGGAAAATTAATAAAATCTCTTTCCCTTCTTTCAACTAATTCCACCCCAAACATGTAATTGGTCAAAAAGTCCTTTCAGGTTTGCCTCTTGCTGTCTCTTCTGAATTACTCCAAGAGCCCCATCCTCCCTGTCTCCAGTATTTTCCTCCACACCACCCTTCTTTTACCCTGCAGCCAAGTGACTCATCTTTTTAAACATGTTTCATCATTCTATCATTCACCTTTGGGATAAAATACAAAATTTGGGGGCATGGAATATGAGGTAGTTTATCTACCTGCCTCTTCCTATCTCTAATGCCATCTCCTATCATCTCTGGTCCCAGCCATATGGAACCACTTATAATTCCCTCAATTGTCACCCTCTCCTTCACCGTCATGCCTTTGTTAATACAACCTGGCTGGAGCTGTGAGCCCTTTCTTCTATGTTCTATCCAGATGATTCCTACATTACTAGAATATTTCTAATTCCCAGAATACCACTCCTAATTCCACTTATTTAAAAGATTTATTTTATTTATTTGAAAGGCAGAGTGATATCTTCCATTTGCTGATTTATTCCCCAAATGGCTGCAAACAGCCAGGACTGAGCCATAAGGAAGTCAGGAGCCAGGAGCTTCTTTTGAGTCTTCCACATGGGTAGCAGGGGCCCAACCACTTGGGCCATCTTCTGCTGTTTTCCAAGCATATTAACAAGGAGCTGGATCAGAAGTGGAGCAGCCAGGACTCAAACTGGTATCCGTATGGGATACTGGTGTCACAGGCAGCTGCTTTATCCTCTATGCCATAATGCTGGCCCCCTAACTGAATTTTTTTGAAAAGAAAAACTAAGATAGTTAATAGATGCTGGAATTCTGGTATAGTTTTCTCAAACAGAGTGAAATTCCTTTTGAGACACACAATAAATTTTCTTATTTAGTCTTTTTTATTTTTGTCTTCCATTCATCGGTAATGACTCTTTAGGTGAAAAACTGGAAAAGGTGGAATACGAATTGGAATAAATCTTCTACCAAAATATTATAAGAGATCCAGATGCTGAGAAAAAAAAGTGGAAAGAAACTGTGAAAGAGGAAGATGTTCTCAGCTATATTCCTATGTTAACCATCCCCCCTCCATTCTCAATCTCTCCCTCTCCCACCCCCCCTTAATATATTAAAAAAAAAAAAATCATACTGTGTTCTTTCTAAATCCCTCAGGTTTCCTATTTTATTGCCCCAAGAGTCTGCTTCCCTGAGGTTCTTGCATAGACCAGTTATTTCCCTCTATAAAGAAGCTGTTTGGTTCGTTCTCGCCTGGTTTGGAAGAATCCAAGGGAGGCAGTTCTTGCAGCCCTGTCTCCTTCCACTCCCCTTCTCCCCCAGTCCTGGCTGGAGCTGTGAGTCTGTCAATCTCAGGCAAGAGACAAGGCAGACAAAGATTCATTTGTGAGGACCTCCTTCCAGCACCTCCACTCTTCTCCTTTTGCCCAAACTCACCCAGGGAGTTGGAGCATTTAAGATTTCTCTGCCAGGAAGACCAAAAGGAAAGAAGAAAAAGGTAAGTAATTTTTTCTCTGTAAAAAACATTTTATGCCATTTATTCTACTCCAAACTGCTACTGTAGATTATAGTGGAAATGTGTGTTTTTGTTGATTAAAAAGGGGAAGACAGGGCAGAGTTATCCTCCGAGATGGTGAGAGGAGATGGTGCATGTACTTTGAAAAAGATGATGCTTCCTTGGTAAAGGAATAGAATCAGGTTAAAATAAATTAGAAAATGCACATTCCTTGACTAGGAAAATAACTTAATCATAGGCTTAGAAAGAGGCAGATTCCTTTCTGTTGTTCATTTAATGCTCAATTCCACTCAGTCTAGTCCCACACAACAGGACCTATTGTTTCACCTCTCAGCACTGTGTGAGGATGCTGAAGTATTTAAGATTGTTCAAAATGCAGTAGCTGCATCTCTATACGACCTACTTGACATGAAGTTAAATGCAATGTCTAAGAAAAGCCTTTTTTTTTTTTAACTTTCAAAAAATTCTGATGTCTGAAAAGAAAGTTGTGATACACAGAGGGAATTCATTGAATCATCCTTGGTGTCCCAACCACGGAATACAACACAGTGTCTGTGCTGCTAAGAGAAAGAGAACACTTCTTCCCCCTGGGACTTATAAAAATTCCTTCACTTGGTTCCCCTGGCTGAGAAAACTATCCCAAATGCTGATCTTTTTCTCCAGTGATGATGATTTTATTGTGGCCAGGAAAACAAACAGGATGATGCAAGACTGCATTTAATACCCCCTTCTAGCATGCCCTGAGAGGCCTGCAGGCATATCACAGGGTGGATGAGGACTTCATCTTTCCACTGACTAAGGTATCTTGGGTATGCGGACTGATGTGTCAGCCTGAAGGATCTGCCAAGGGCTTATCCGTGTTCTAAAATCACTTCTGTTCATTTAACACACACTCTGAGAAATTTCACTTAAGGAATCTGCCGTTCTAAAACAAACCTCTTCTCAATCAATAAAAAGAAAAAGAAGAGCGAATTTTAAAAATCATAGTGACTTTCATCCTCCAAAAAAGATGAATGAAGATATCACAGACTGGGCAATAATTTTAATTTCTTTCAACTACAATTTTTTTGATATTTCAAAAGCCAAGTGCTAGGCTGGAATTTTCATTTGTCTTTGCAGCTTTGTTTCTCTACTGCTGCTTTTTGAAGGAATCAGAAATTGGGCTTCCCGTCCGTTTAATTCATCAACTCTGTTTCATTCCACTGCCAGTTCCCAGAACTGACATCAGCTGCCTGTATGAGTTTTGCACCATAAATGTCTGAATACTTTGACTACATTGCCCTGTTAGTTTTGGCCGATAAATGGGATAATTTTTCAGTGAAAGTCTCCACTTAACTACAGCCATTCAAAAGCTTGTTCATGCCAAATACCCTCACAGAATCAAAATTTGCAATTTATCACCAAATAATGGTGCTAATGATTTATTTCTTAATTGGAAATAACATAATTCTGTATCCTTTGCATTGATTTTCCTTTTAAAAATACATTACTATTGGGATATAAATGGTACTACACAACGGGAGTAACATTGTTAATTACATCAAATTGAACTTTTAAAATCTAGGGATAACTACTAAGGTTTTCCTAGTTATTCCTTCAAATCTTCAGTTTTAACTTTGCTTACTTTTGTAATTTGGATGAATCCCAGCAAGAATTTTAAGAGCATGTACTTCAACAGAAAGAGGAAAAAAAAATAGAGTAATTTGTCTCAAATGGGCCAAAGTCATCTCACTCTTGTTGGCACTTGAAAATATATGGTTTTGATGGCTTGCCAAGGATTAAGACTGGTGTCTTTTAATGAAAAACAACCAATGTATGCCAACAGCACGTTGGCTCAAACATTTTTCCACTTACTAAATAATAGGTAAGGTTGTGTATCTGCATTTTAGCAAAGGAAGAAGAGAAGGCTTCAGTTAAAACGTATAATTTATAAAGTGTTAAAAAAAAAATCTACCGGTAAATGCTTGCCAGGTGTGGAACTTTCCATCATAGTATGTGATGAAGACCAAGGCAGAAACCCTGTTTTGTGCTGTGGAATGGACACAGTCAGAAGAGTGCAAGGTATGGCAACATACCTAATTACTTCTCCAGCAATTTATTTGTTTACTACTTCAGGGAATGTTTTATGAATACTTATCCTGGGCCCAGCATTGAAGTACGTGCTCTGAGAGATACAGAAGAATTAGAAATTATAATTCTTGCTCTCATGATACTGGCATCTTCTCTTCTGATTCTTTAAATAATGGATTTCCCCAGATCTCAGTCCTTTGACTTATCACTTCTTGGTCTACACTTACATTTCTCCAACACTCATAGCTATAAAGCCTATCAATAAATACCTTTTTTTTTTTTTTTTTTTTTGGACAGGCAAAGTTAGACAGTGAGAGAGAGAAAGACAGAGTCAAAGGTCTTCCTTCTGTTGGTTCACCCCCAAAATGGCCGCTACAGCCAGCTCGCTGCACCAATCCGAAGCCAGGAGCCAGGTGCTTCCTCCTGGTCTCCCATGTGGGTGCAGGGCCCAATGACCTGGGCCGTCCTCCACTGCCTTCCCAGGCCACAGCAGAGAGCTGGACTGGAATAGGAGCAACCAGGACAGAATCTGGCACCCCTACCAGGACTAGAACCCGGGATGCCGGCACCGCAGGCGGAGGATTAGCCTAGTGAGCTGCAGCGCCAGCAATAAATATCTTAATTACTTACAAATTTGATTTTTCAACCTTGAACTTCAGATTCATATTCAACTGCCTACTTAATGTCTTATTCAAAAATGTAATAGGCATCTCAAACTCAAATCAAAAACTTAGGTCAAAAACTTGCTCTTGAATTTCCCCCAAATTGGCTCCTTCCAGTTCTTCCTCCATCTAATAAATTACAGTACCACTCAGGCCAAAAATCTAAGAGTCATTCTTGATGCTTTCCCTCTTGCCTCATGATTTCCTTCAATTCCTACCAAAAGCCTCTTCTATTTCAATTTTTCCCCAGCACTATACATCTTCTCATATATAAGTTTGAGGTTTGTCCTTAGTGGATGCTTTGGTCAGAAATTAACATAAAAGGAAGGAATAAGAACAATAAGGCGGCCGTCGCCGCGGCTCACTAGGCTAATCCTCCGCCTCGCGGCGCCGGCACACCGGGTTCTAGTCCTGGTCGGGGCGCCGGATTCTGTCCTGGGTGCCCCTCTTCCAGGCCAGCTCTCTGCTGTGGCCCAGGAGTGCAGTGGAGGATGGCCCAAGTCCTTGGGCCCTGCACCTGCATGGAGACCAGGAGAAGCACCTGGCTCCTGGCTTCGGATCAGCGCAATGCGCTGGCCGCAGCGTGCTGGCGGTGGCGGCCATTGGAGGGTGAACCAATGGCAAAGGAAGACCTTTCTCTCTGTCTCTCTCTCTCTCACTGTCCATTCTGCCTGTCAAAAAAAAAAAAAAAAAAAAAAAAAGAAAGAAAAAAAAGGCAAAGACACATGGGTAGGACTAAAGAGATGATTGGTCTGACTAGGTAGCTCAATAGCAGTAAAGCATAGGAATGGAGAAGAGGAAGGAAGCCCTTAGGATTAGCCCTAAGAAGTTCACTCAGTTGTTTAGATGACATGATACCTCCATAGGCCCTTGCCCAGGATAAATCTGTGTTTTGGGGGAAATCATTCATTCAATTCAACAAATATGGGCCAATTATTGTATTAGCCACAGATGTGTGGTGATGAAGAAAATAGATTGCTCTCATGTTGCTTTCAGTCTAAAGGGAATGACAGACATAAAGTGAGTAAATTCACAAATATGAGGGTATTTCTAAAATTTCATGGAAAAATATAATTAAAAGTATGAATGTATTTTGGTGCAAAATTTTTTCTTAATGTACATGTAAAATACATATTATGAAAAAACTATGGAAGGAATTAAAAAATCTTTGTACGCAAATAAGCTTATCTTTTAATTCTAGTTTTCCATGAATTTTTTGAAGTACCCTTCTGGCACTGTGGAGTGGAGGGTAAAGCTGCCAGCTGTGGTGCCAACATCCCATACGGGCACCAGTTTAAGTCCCAGCTGCTCCATTTCTGATCCAGCTCTCTGCCTGCTAATGCACCTGGAAAAGCAATGGAAGATGATCCAAGTCCTTGGGCCCCTGCACCCATGTGGGAAACCCAGAGGAAGCTCCTGGCTCCTATCTTTGAATTGGCCCAGCTCTGGCTGTTGTGACCATTTGGGGCATGAACCAGCAGATGGAAGGTCTCTCCCACTGTGTCTCCCTGTCTCTCTATAACTCTGTCTTTCAAATAAAAATAAATTTTTAAAAAGTGTTTATTATTTTCATCTACTTGAAAGGAAGAGTGACAGAGTGTGTGAGAGAGTGAGAGACAGAGACAGACAGAGAGAGATCTTCCATCTGCTGGTTTACTCTTCAAATGCTCACAATAGCCAGGGTGGGGCCAGGTGGAAGCCAGGAGCCCAGAGCTCCTTCTGTGTCACCCATGTGGCTGGCAGGGGCCCAAGCACTTGAGTCATCATCTGCTGCCTCCCAAGACGCATTAGCAGGTAACTCAAACAGAAATATTGCAGACAGGACTCAATTGGACCTACAATGGTATGTGGGCATCCCAAGAGGGGTTTAACCTGCTGTGCCACAGTGCCTTCTCCCATCTTTATATAATTTAAATTGTGATAAATATCATTAAGGAAAATAAGAGGGCACTATAAAAGTGTCTCAGTCTTCATTTGAGACTAGAAGAACTTTGAAAGAATAACATTAATTTTTTAAAATTTCTTTATTTATTTGAAAGGCAAAGTTACAGAGAGAAAGGAAGAATCAGAGAAAGAGAGAGAGACCTTCCATCTGCTGGTTCATTCCACAAATGGCTGCAACAGCTGGGGCTGTGCCAGGCTGAAGCCAGATACCAGGAGCTTCTTCAGGGTCTCCCTGATGGATGGCAGGGGCCCAAGCACTTGGACCATCCTCCACCACTTTCCCAGCCATATTAGCAGAGAGCTGGA